GTGTGTGATTCGTAAATAAAACACTTTATAAAAAATGCGTTTCTTGTAATTCTCTGACTTGAAGCACGAGTGCGTTTCCCACGCGCAACTTCCACGCGCGAAGGTGTCCCGCGAGTGTGGCGTTTGCCTGCGAAAAACTCAATTATTATGATCAAGAAGCAAAAACCAACTAATAAAAGGAATGCAAGGAACAATGTAAAAGCTGGGAAGAATGCTATAAAAGTCTTGAACAACAGCAACCCCATCCAGATTAGAAAAAAGACGGTCAAGAAAAGGTTCACTGATGGAACCCTCTCGAGTTTTACGCGATTTGTTGATGATGTTAAGAGAGGAGGAGGAGGAACTGAAAAAAAAACGCAACGTCAACTGCGTCAGAAGGAAAAGGAGAGTGACGAATTAAAAGATTAATGTTTAGCCCTTCGCTTGGACAACGATGGCTTTCGTTATATAATGCTCTGTCAAGATTGTCTTCGTTACTTAGACAGCAAGAGACCAGGAGATACCGTAGAAGGGTACAGTTGTACCAGTTATATTGGTGTGATGGGGCCGTCTAGAAACTAATTTCCCAAAGATACATAGACTGAAGAGAAAGTATTACGAAACTTGGCCCTACTGTCCTGGTTTTGGCCCTCTTAACCTTTGTTTGGTCTTCGTTTGGCAAGTGTGGGTCGATGTGGGGCAGGAGAACGTTTAGTAACCCCGCCCTTACCAATTTTCTATAAAAGAGACGCGTTGCGTTCTGAAGTTTAGATTTAGTTTCCTATCAGAGCGCGTGCGGTTCGAACCAAAGAAATGTGGAACAGTAACCTCCATTATAACATTCAGCATGGTGCTGGAAACTATAAAGACAGCGAAGAAAGCGATTTCTCCTAAGAAAGCCAAGTCTTGAGCCAAGGAACGAAGTCTTCCCAAGAAGAAACAGAAAACTTTGCGCCTTGGTTACGCATTCTTGATGAAGCCGAGAAACGAGTACGGTCAATGAGTACGAAGGGAACGGAGATTCAGAAAACGTGGCCCACGTGAAAGCCGAGAACGCTCTTCTTCTTGTTTACAGAAAAGAGCTAACAAAAGTACTCTTAGAGAATCTACAGTGGATGCGTGCAATGAAAAAAGATCCCACCTTCAAAAAAGTGATTGAAAACCTAAAAAGAACTACAAGATACAGATGGATTCGATTGTTTGGAATCGACAAAACTAGCGGTTCTTACTCAATCGACTGTATCAAATGCAGCCCATTCCACAAGATGAAGACTAGTCCAATTATGAATGCTATAGAATTATTTTTTCTCGACCTTTGTATTGTTGCGTTTCAATAAAAACTGTAAGCAACCAAACTTTAAGAGTGTTTTATTGCTGACTTGAAAATAACAATAACAGTAAAATGGTACAATAAATAAAGAAAAATGAAATTTGAAATACCAGTTACTAATTAACGATCAAAACTTTCTTAATTAGGGACTGTTATTTGTGATTACACTTAATAAAGATGATGACTCCAAAGCTGAGAGCTGTTGCGTGACTAGCGACGCGCGACTCCCACGCATGTGTCTGAGAAAAATAAAGACATAACTAGAAATGGCCCGTTGGTCTCCTTTTGTCCCTTTTGGCCCGGTTTTGGCCTTTCAGGCCTGGGTATGGCTTTTCTGGCCTGTTTCACGTTAACTTTTCGTTGAAGTTTTTTACACTCAATCAATTTACAACACAAACTGGAATATCTAGAGGCATAGTAGTAACTCCATCCTCCAACACTTTTCTTCTGGGGTAAAAGTAGGCAAAGCCATCTCGAATTTGTTGATAGGTATACGAAAACCCTTGTTTAGTCCGGCACTGCTCTGTTTGGTTAACAGGACATTCAAGTATTTCTCTTTGTTGATTTCGTTTGTTTTCTTATTAACTCCTTTGCAACTGAACTTGTCTTTTCCCCCGAAGCGATAGTAGGTTTTACTACTTAGACCAATGATTCCATCCCCTGCCCACTCTTCTTTGAAAAGGTAGAAGTTTTTCAGTTATTCCCTATATTAGAACGGACATTTTATGCTAACCTTAGCGAAATCTAATTGATAGTTTGTATAATAAAGTATCTTCTAAAGGAACGCTCTTGCAAATACTTACAATGCTTTAAAGTAATTAACACGATTTGCCTGCCAAAAATCAGTGAACCGGAACTACGACAATCACAGCAGCAGGAAATAGGATTTGCATAATTACGTTACGTCTTAATGTTTTTAAGTCACAGACAAGTTTGACTTTACTCCTCAGACACTATGAATTGACCAATGAAAACGTTTCTTATTTTCTAACTAACCAATCGAAAACGAAGACGTTTATCGATCTTAAAGTAACTAGAAAACCTAAACCAACTAAAAATAGCACACGACCTTATCTTAATGAGATTCCTGCGCATTTTGCTCGTGAGATAAAGACAAAAGGTTATGACATCATTGGCGTTAATGTATTCCTACCCAAGTTAATGAAATTCCAGCCCAAAAAACAGGAGTAA